GTTTGTCAACGTGGGTTGTTTAAGCTTTACTGTATTATCTAAGGCTAACATCGTGGTTTTACATGCGAACAGAACCGTCTAAAAGGCCTATCACCGTGGGTCATTTTAGCTTTCATGTATTTTCTGAGGCTATCACCGAGGGTTAAGTTGCAATAGGAACCATTAGATAGGCCTATGACCGAGGGTAGTTTTAGCTTTCCTGTATTCTCTGAAGCTATCACCGTGGGTTATGTTGAGATAAGAACCCTATAAAGGCATATCACCGCGGGTTGTTTGAGCTTTAATTGTATTCTCTGAGGCTATCACCGATGGTTAACTTGCGATAACAACCATAAATACTCGTATCTCCGTGGTTTGTTTGAGCTTTACTATATTCCCTGAAGCTATCACCGTGAGTTATCTTGCGTTAGGAACGCTCTAAAAGCCTCTCGCCGTTGGTTCTTTGAGCTTTACTGTATTCTCTGAGGCTATCACCGTAGGTTAAGTTTCGATAAAAACCTTCTACAATGCCTATCACCGTGGGTTGTTTTAGCTTTATTGTATTCCCTGAGGCTGTCATCGTTGGTTAACTTGCAATAAGTACCCTCTAAAAGGCCTATCACCGTGGCTTCTTTGAGCTTTACTGTATTCCCTGAAGCTATCACCGTTGGTTAACTTGCAATAACAACCCTCTACAAGGCCTCTCACATAGGTTGTTTGAGCTTTTCTATCTTCCCCGAGGCTATCAGCGTGTGTTAAGCTGAGAAAAGTAACTCCTTTCAGGCCTATCACCGTGGGTCGTTTGAGCTTTACTGTATTTACTGAGGCTATCACCTTGGGTGAAGTTGAAATTAGAACCCTTTAAATGGCCTATCACCGTGGGTTGTGAGACATAAACTGTATTCCCCTAGGCTATCATCATGGGATATCTTGCGATAGGAACCCACTAAAAGGATTATCACCGTGGGTTGTTTGAGCTTTTCTGTATTCCCTTAGGCTATCTTCGAGGGTTAAGTTTCAATTAAAACCTTCTGCTAGGCCATTCACCTTGGGTTGTTTGAGTTTTCTTGTATTCCCTGAGACTATCACGGTTGGTAAACTTTCACTAATAACCCTCTAAAAAGCCTATCACCGTGGCTTGTTTGAGCTTTCCTGTATTCCCTGATGCTATCACCGTGTGTAAACTTGCGGTAACAACCATCCTAAAGGTCTATCACCGTGGGTCGTTTGATTTTTACTGTATTCCCAGAGGCTTTCACAGTGGGTTTACTTGTGACAAGAACCCTCTTAGAGGCCTCGTGGATTGTTTGAGCTTTGCTGTATTCTGTAAGGCTATCGCCGAGGGTTAGGTTGCGAAAATAACCATTTGATAGGCCTATCATCGTGGGTCGTTTGAGCTTTACTGTATTTCCTGAGGCTATCACCGTGTGTAAAGTTGAGATAAGAACCCGCTTAAAGGTCTATCACCGTTGGTCGTTTAAGCTTTACTGTATTCTCTGAGGCTATCACCTTGAGTAAAGTTGAGATAAAAACCCTCTAAAAGGCCTATCACCGTGGGTTGTTTGAGCTTTATTGTATTCCCTGAGGCTATCACCGTGGGTAAACTTGCGCTATGAACCCTTTGAAAGGCCTATCACCGTGGCTTTATTGACCTTTTCTATATTCTCTGAGGCTATCACCGGGGGTTAAGTTGCGATAAGAACTTTCTACAAGGCCTTCAACCGTGGGTCATTTGAGTTTTACTGTATTCCCTGATGCCATCACCGTGGGTTAACTTGCAATAACAACCCTCTTTAAAGCCAATCACCGTGGGACGTTTCAATTTAACTGTATTCCCCGAGGCTTTTAACTTGGTTTAACTTGCGATATGAACCCTCTTAAAGGCCTATCACCGTGGGTCGTTTGAGCTTCATTGTACTCCCTGACGATATCTAAACTGGTTAACTTAATTCCGCTAAAATCCAACTTGAAGGCCTATCATCGTTTGTCGTTTGAGCTTTACTGTATTCTCTGATGCGATCTCCATGGGTTAACTTGCGATTAGAACCCTCTAAAAGGCATATCACTGTGGCTCGTTTGAGCATAACTGTATTCCCTGAGACAATCACCGTGTTTTGAGTTGAGATAAAAACCCTTTAAAACACCGTGGGTCGTTTGGGCTTTACAATATTTCCTGAGGCTTTCACCGTGGGTTAAGTTTCGATTAAAACATTCTGCAAGGCAAATCACCGTGGGTTGATTGAGCTTTTTTGTATTCCCCGAGGCTATTACCGTGGGTAAACTTGCACTAAGAACCCTCTGAAAAGCCTATCACCGTGGTTTGTTTGAGCTTTACTGTATCCTGAGGCTATCACCGTGGGTTTACTTGCGACAAGATCCTCTAAAAGGCCTATCACCGTGGATTGTTTCAGCTAAACTGTATTATCTAAGGCTATCATCGAGGGTAAAGTTGCGAAAATATCCACTAGATAGCCTTATCATCGTGGGTCGTTTGATCTTAACTGTATTACCTAAGGGTATCACTGTTGGTTAAGTTGAGATAAGAACACCCTTAAAGGCCTATCACCATGGGTCGTATGAGCTTTACTGTATTCCCTGAGGCTATCGCCGTGGGTAAAATTTCGATTAAAACCTTCTGCAAGGCCAATGACCATGGGTTGTTTGAGCTTCACTGTATTCCCTGAGGCTATCACCGTGTTTAAATTTGAAATAAGAACCCCATTAAAGGTCTATCACCGTTGGTCGTTTGAGCTTAACTGTATTCCCTGAGACTATCACCTTGTGTTGAGATTAGAACCCTTGAAACGGCCTACGACCATGGCTTATTTGAGCTTTACTCTATTACCTGATGCTATCGCCGTGGTTAAACCTGCGATAAAAACCCTCTAAAAGGCAATCACTGTGTGTTGTTTGAGTTTTACTGTATTCCCTGAGGCTATCACCGTTGTTTAACTTGCGATAAGAATCCTCTTAAAGGCCTATCACCGTGGGTCGTTTTAGTTGTCCTGTATTCTCTGAGGCTGTCACAGAGGTTTCAGTTGCGATAAGAACCATTAGACAGGCCTATCGCCGTTGGTCGTTTGTTCTTTACTGTATTCCCTAAGGCTATAACCGTGGGTTTATTGAGATGAGAACTCTCTAAAGGGCCTATCACCGTGGGTCGTTTTAGCTTTCCTGTATTCCATGAGGCTATCACATTGGGTTAACTTGAGATTAGAAGCCTCAAAAAGTCCAATCAGCCTGGGTCGTTATAGCTACACTGTATTCCCTGGGTTCTTTCAGCTTTACTGTATTCCCTGATGCTATCGCCTTGGGTTGAGATTAGAACCCTTTTAAATGCTTATTACCGTGGGTCGTTTGAGCTTTACTATATTCGCTGAGGCTATCACCGATGGTTAAGTTGAGATAAGAACCCCCTTAAAGGCATATCAGCGTGGGCCGTTTGAGCTTTATTGTATTCCCTTAGGTTATCACCCTTGGTGAATTTGCGATAAAACCCTCTACAAGGCATATCACTGTGGGTCGTTTCAGCTTTACTGTATTCCGTGAGGCTATCACCGTGGGTTAGGTTGCAATAAAAACTCTCTTCAAGGCTTATCGCCGTTGGTTGTTTGAGCATTTTTGTATTCCCCGAGACTATCACCATGGGTTACCTTGCGATAAGAACCCTCTTAAAGGCCTATCACCGTGGATCGTTTCAGCTTTCCTGAATCTCTGAGGCTATCACCGTGGGTTAACTTGCGAACCCTCTTAAAGGTTTATCACCGTGGTTTGTTTGCGTTTTACTCCTAAGACAAATAGCGTTTCAGAATAAAGCAAACACATCAATAAACAGTTCTGAAACAAATAAGTATTGAATTTAAAGAAAACAATGGATGAAGAAAGCCAGCCCGCAGAGCTCTATCGGTTAGAGCACCAGACTTGTAATCTTGACATTGTGGTTTCGATTCCCGGGCTGGCCAACTTAAATTAATATAACAGTCTTATAGATGAGACTTAACACTTGGCATGTTAAAGAACCAGGAGAAGCGTCTGGAATTGAGTCATCTTTCTGTATCTGTTTCTTGCACTATCCTCCAAAATATTTTAAATGACTAATACTAGTACTCTCCTGGAGGACTCGCCAATATGGGCAACCGGTTACGAGTATAAATAAACTCAAATACACACACATAAAGAAAGGCAAGGTGACAGTAGCACCGTCATAAATGTTTTTTTCAGGGTGATTCTTTTGTTTGTTTGTTTCATTTTACGCCTTTTCCCAACAGTTTTTCAGTCATATCGGCGGGTAGTTTCCTGACCATCGTTCCTGGAGAGTTACACCAGTACTAGACTACCATCCTCCGCGCTAAACTACCAAAGCATCTCCCGGGGATCGAATTTTTTTCAGGGTGAAACCGGATCTCAATTTGTTGTGTTTCGTAATGAATGACTGACTGTAAGTATGAAACATTTAACATAGATCAGGAGCTAGCCTGCAAACTTGTTTACCTACCTGCCTTGCACCATTTCTTTCCGCCAAAAGAATTCTGTACTTGACATAAATCATTGGCAATCCTTCTTTAAATGACTAAAAGCGTGTTTCAAATATACATGTACATTTATATGTGAATGAAAAACAAGAGGGAAAACCCATCACAATACTTATATATAAATATGCAAGAGTTGTGTCCCTTTGGTATGTGTTTATAACCTGCGCGAGTGTGGAGGACAGGAGTTTTCCCGCCAGAAATTGCCACGTGATTGGTTTTACGTGCAAGGTCATGTGTCACCTGAGCAGGATCGTTTCTAATTCTAAACTCCGGAAGTACGTATTTTAATTTCAATCTTTATCTTATTTAAATAGCGAAGAATTAAACTGGTTGTGATTTGGTTCCAAAACGGTGCTTCCCTGTAAATCTTCCCCCCTTTCAGTATTCTATTCAAATATTACAAACTTAATACAACTTTGGTATTTTACAAATGTAACTATAGACACATTTAAATAAAATATGTTGCGCATAGAAAGTCTACACAATGAGTATGGCAAAAGAAATTTAATAATCAATTCATACAGCACGTTCAATATAATAATAATAGAAAATAATAATAAAATAATGAGCATACGTATATAAAAATTTCAAAGAAACTGGAAGATGAAAATTATATTCGGGATAAAATATTTAAAAAATAATAATGATACATGTATATTTGAATAGGAAATTTGGTTTACTTTAAGTGAACCGTGAATTAAGAAAATCGTAAATTAAAAAAATATGGCATGTCTCCATCAATATTCTATATAAGAATATAGGTAGAACGTATATTTTGCTGAGTTTTCAGACAAGCCGACATTGCCAATGTCATATGGGGCATTACAAGGTGTACTGGTGGAGAATGACATGCGGATTTTAGGCGAGCAGGTACCTGAGCAGCGAGCAGGCACCTGAGTTGCGAGTAGGTACTTGAGTGGCGAGTAGGCACCTAAGTGGCGAGCAGGCACCTTAGTTGCGAGCAGGTACTTGAGTGGCGAGAAGGTACCTAAGTGGCGAGCAGGCACCTGAGTAACGAGCAGGTACCCGAGTAGAACTACTGACCTCACGCAAGACTGTTGACTAGATTTTATTGATAAAGTAACCGCAAACCCAGGCAGGATCCTAAGCAGATACAATAATTTTACAAAAGAATATATCTCAAATTGCACGCATCAGAACTCCAATAGCAGGCCTTAGAAATCAAAGAGTAAGTGTCATTACGTGGATTCTTTGGTGATCTTCTATTAAAGTTCTTCATGATAGGCCATGCATATTGCATAACCTCTATCATTATATATAATATGATTAAACACTGTTGGACATAAACAAATTTGTTGTTTAAATATCTCAACATTCTCATATATAAAATACAGGTACCACGTGTTTATCACTTCACATATAACTTCATCTTTGATGTTTTACAGCGTTCCCATGCTCTATATTATAATCCATTCTAAGGTTTTAAAAAGTCATATACGTACATGTACATGTATATAATTTAAAAGTCTCTATTTATTTCAATAGTCTGCATTTTAATATAAAATTCATGTGTCTAACGCTTGTTTCTTGTCTATTTTTATATTTCCATTTTCCACTGCCGGCGCATGACAATTTACTTCATTATGACAATTTCCGTTTTCTGTTGTGTTATTATTTCCATTTTCTGTTGTGTGATTATTTCCATTTTGATAACTGTCAATTGGTTTGTCAAGCTTTTTGTCAACAGTGACGTCATCATCGTCGGCCTCCGAGTCACTCCGACTATCTTTAATCTGCATCAATAAAATGCAAGCATAATGATAAATCAAAAGGGGAGATAAATATGGTATTGATAATATATGATAAATCAAAAGGGGAGACAAATATATAATAATTTATTTAAAGGGGAGATAAATACGAAATTGATAATATCAAATTAATATAGAATGATAAACAAAAGGGGAGATAAATATGATATTAATAATATATGATAAATCAAAAGGGGAGATAATTTTGATATTGATAATATATAATGATATATTCAAAGGGGAGATCAATATGATATCGATAATATAAAATGATAACTCAAATGGGGGTATAAATATAATATGGATAATATATAATGATAAATCAAAAGGGGAAATAAATATGATATTGATAATATATAATGATAAATGGAAGTCATTTCCACATTTCAAACTTCACTTAAAATTAATAATAAATAGTTCAAAATATGCAAAAGTAGCTATTAATGCGTAAGTCACGCAGTACAATATAATGCATGGTGATAAATACTGCAAAGTCAGTCATTAATTGCTTATTTAATGTAAATCATTTATTGAATTGTGAATATGCTTACTTTAACTAAAATTTTTGTACATTTTTCTCAAGATTGATTTTCTTTAAAACATTTCTGACGCAGTTTTAATTACTTTCAATACTTACATCGCCTTCTGTAAGCGTCTTGTACACCATTTTATAAATATGATACGACCAAATACACGTTAACATCAGTAGCAGGTACAAAAAGAAGTTGAAAAAGTAGTTAACAAAGGTAGGTGCATCTATGATATCGAGAACTTCAATGGTGGTTGTATACAATATTCTGAAACAGAACATAACACAATATTAAGTATATGCCTTTCGTAAAAAACCGGGACGAATGTTACCTTTGGTCTCTTTTAAGGCATGTTTTTGTCTGTGCCTAACATAATACGGAGTTTAAACGTATCATCATCGTGCTTTTAAGGTAACATGACACTTAAACAGGTAACGCAACACTAAATATGTACCGACCATTTCTTTAAGGTAAGACGAGACTAAAAAGTGTCACGCAACACTAAATGTGAATCAAATGACACTTCCGGGCTCGTAAGACAGATAAAGACGGATAAGCACATTTTAATATCATTGTAAAGTCATGTGACCTTGTCTCGACCAATGGCAATAAAAGGAATTTATTTGTTGTATAATAATTTTTTCGTGAGGAGCAGTTTACAATATTATTTTCATTTTCGGTATTTTCACTGTAAAAATTAATTTTTCACTGCAGTGAAACATATTTTCCGTATTTTCACTAATGTCTTGTCGGACTTCTTTCTTCTAAATTCAGCCAATACAAACACGTTTTACTTCAAATTGTAACGTCAAAAAAAATTATAATAAAAAAAGTTTTATCTATAAATACAGGATTTGTTTTCATCTTGTGGTATGAAGATCATCATATTTATTCGACTCGTTCAATAAATTCTGTATTCAAACTACTCTCATTTAATATCCTTTATGTATTGAATAAAAGTAGGCCCCGATTTTACGGATTCACAAAAATTGAACGGGTATGTTATCAATTGACAAGATATGATGACGTCATATTTTAAATATTATACATAAAATGTTAATAAGAAACGAGCATGTGAAATAAAAAGGAAATTGACATTCAAAACATCGTCACATAAAGTAGAACTTACATAAAAGGTAATACATAGTGTCTAGCTACCGTCCAAACCAAAACAAATATGCCGAACGCAACATCTGTTAGTGTCTTACGTTTTAGATATATACCCATCTTTGCCAACTGAAGTAAAAAATATTCGTCATAAATATTATATAAAGATATTTAAAAGTACATGTATAAAAAAAGACACAAAACTGCACATGTATTACATAGATATTTACAGAATTATTTAATATAGATGATTTAAGTTACAAAATATCAAACACTTTCTGCATTTGAAGCATAAAAATGTGGTAAAGGGGTCATCCCTCGAAAGTAAGTATAATGATTTAGCATTTTGTATGAAAGTCAAAAAATTTTCCTACTTGAACATTTTTAATGACAAATAATGTTATTTTCAGCGCTACTTCCGCCAGGTGATAAGCATCTAACATGCTCTTAATATAAAACTTTATTGAAACATTACCAAACTAATGTTTGACTTTTCTAAAGAAAGAAAAGTTTATTCATTTCTAAGGCATGGTGTGCCTTTAATACTCCGCCAATCCGTACCTTACGCCGCCATTACTAATCAACATAAAATGTAATTGAATCATGTGTCTTATGATATGTCATTTCAAACCAGGGGTCAAAGGTGGTCCATATTTTATAACCAAATACAAGCTGGTAAATTATTCACGTGAATGACATAGTTGTTAATCTTCACGTATACACGCCTCGTAATTTTCTCACTAAACATAATTTTACAACTTTGACAATTGAGCCGTGTCATGACAAAACCAACATAGTGGGTTTGCGACCAGCATGGATCCAGACCAGTCTGAGCATCCGCGCAGTCTGATCAGGATCCATGCTGTTCGCTTACCAACTCTATTATAAGTAGAGAAACTGATAGCGAAAAGCATGGATCCTGGTCAGACTGCGCGGATGCGCAGGCTGGTCTGGATCCATGCTGGTCGCAAACCCATTATGTTGGTTTTGTCGTGACACGGCTCAATAATTGTTGAGAAATTCCTCGCGTTTTATTACATTTATTTATAATATACAATCTTTATTGATATCTAGACTCATATAACCGTAATACAATAGCGCCCTGAATAGGCTACGTGTGTTTAATGAAATTGTTAGCACAGTCATAATCATAATAAAAGTACAAACGTTCTAGTTTTTATAGTAAAATATTGTAAAGTGATCAAATTTACGGCAGTAACAATCCACGTAAATGACAAAAAAAAAGTCAAAATATGCAAAAATTGTTATTGTGTTAGTCACGCAGTAAAAAATATGGTTATATTTTTTTATCAAGTTTGATTTTCTTGAAATATTATGGCTTATGTGGAGGCATGCAGCTTTAACAACTCTTTAAAGCCATTTATTGACTTCTAGCATCAGTAATTGGTAGAACACAGAGTTTTATTTTTACCAAACACAGAGATTCTGTATGGTGGCTGATTTGTGCCATGCCGTACTTTCGCTCCGCGGGGCGCCATACCAGAATACGACAAAGTGACCACGAAAGTAAGATAAAAGAGTCACATTGTCGTGATTTCGAAGTTTTGCCTGGTTAAAGTGGTTACTTCGTTATTTTTTTTTTGTAATTTCGCTGCAGCCCAGCGGAGCGAAAGGCGACGGCATGAAATTACGACAAAGCGATTTCGTATTTGTTTCTGGCGCCCTGCGGAGGGAAAAACGGCATGGCACAAATAAGCCACCATGATCCCCAGTTCAAGTACTAATAACATGTTCTTCGCCTATATCTTGTAACACACCAATTTACCGATGGGCGACTGAAATAGAAGCACACAAAATAAATAAATGAATGAATGATGGATGAATGATGGATGGATGAATGAATGAATGAATGAATGAATTAATGAATTAATGAATTAATTAATTAATACTTAATTAAAGATAATGCACTTTACCTCTAACCAGGGATCTGAGACATCATGTATGAGAAGCACAAGTGAACCAACTCGCACAAAGTTACTGATCCAAGAAAAATATATGAGAACTATTGTTGCTAAATGGTGCACTATCATTTGTACAAAATCCTGAAAATGAAATAAGATAAATCCATCAAATTAACAACAAGATTATTAATTTTAAGATTTTTTTTTACAATTAAATCACAACGTTTCCAGCTTAAATGTAGAAAAGTTTGGCGAGTATTAATAATTAGTACGACCTTTGCCATGAGTTTAGGAGAATGAAGAAAGAACGCTGCACATAAAGAATAACAAATTTTAGTTACAAGGTCAAGTCACAAGACGAGGGAGAGATATTTTGTTTTGTTTGGTTTTACGGCGCTATAGCACAATTTAGGTCATATAACGCAGAAACAGGAAAGATGATTTTGGTTAACCTGGGGTGTTACAAACTTAAAGCAACACTAGGGGTCAAGCCGTTGTTTACTTTGGCAATAAATATGTACACTCATTGCTCAGTACAGGTTGATTTCAGGAACAGGTTCGATTCGAGAGTGTGCCTATATGCTTACAGCTTCCTTATCAAAATATCGGACTAAAATGAGTTCTGTATTAACTGACTTTATTGTATTATTTGTTTTATCGTCTACCTACAGCTTAAAACAGCACGCCTCCAGACTCCTGATAATTTTCATGAAATTTTATATTATGTATTAAAAGTAAAATATTACATACAGTAATTTACACATTGCAAACGGCACTTTCAATCCACGTAAATTACCAAATATAGGTCAAAATATGCAAAAACTAGCCCTTACTGCGTTAGTCACACAGTTCAAATATGGTGATTATACTGCAAAATCCGACATTCAAATGCATGTAACATGTAGTTCATAACTTGAATTGTGAGATTTTTTACTTTTATTAAACATCTTAGTGCATTTTTGCCAAAGTGGATATTTTTGAAAAATTCTTGACTCATCTGGAGGCATGCATGCGCAGCTTAAAAAAACCCTGATGCACTTTTGATGCACTTTTGTAATTAACTTTAATCATTTTTATACACATTTGTAATTTAAGTGATTCAAATATGCAGACAGGGTCATTTTTTTCTATGCAATTCATATATATTCATGTGTAATGGAAAAAAGTATAATACTGCTCTTTTGTGGTCATAGAGTAAGGTGAATATCAAACTGCAATAAAAGGCAAGCTCTATCATGTAGTACCAATATATGCCGTCAGATACATGCTGGAAATACAATAAAACTATGATCATAATTAAGTTAATGTAAAAATGTAATAAAAATTAATTAAAGGTAATAATGTAATAAAATATATGATATGACAAAGTCTGTAACATGTAATGTACTATTTCTTTTGCTATATTATCGATGTATATATTACATTCAGTAAATAATTCATTATATTTTATAGACAATAATCTCTCGTGTCATATCATATCATGTTTATGTATTTTTGTTTGTTTGTTTGTCTGTTTTTGTTGATTTTTTGTTTACATGAGACGAGTATTGGTCTATGCGAGCACATTTTTGGCATTCGAAGCATCTCGGCGATTATTCATAATCATCCGAGGTTTGACGGTAAAGCCCGAGAAAATACAATTGGAAATTGAGACTAACGTGTTCCGATAGCCAAACTTTTAACATTCGGATCTTCTCGGCCTTTCGCGTCAAACTTCGGAAAAGTTATTCTGAATAATTACCGAGATGTCCCGATTGTATTGAGAACGACTTTCTAAAAGACGAGTAATTAACACCCGAGGAATCATTGTTAGCATATGTACAGGGACAGGAAATATTTTAACTTCAATACATTGAAATGGTATTTTGATGACAACCAGTTTTGCGACATAAATTGGTTTAGTTAGATAATGTATAGTTATGAATTTTGTTTTACATTTTTACGATAAACTCGTGTTACTAAATATAGTATTCGAAATATATTATTCACCTGTTGCGGCCATCCTACCCAGCATTCCTTTGTTGTTGTAAACCATGGTTTCTGTAAAACATGAAAAGTAAACAAAAATTTATATACAGAGAACATATTACAAAGTTTTGACTGATCAACAAATACATAAGCATTGTTAGCAAGAAATATTTTACAATAGAAAAATGAACTATTTCAAAGAAAGCATTGACAATAACGACATGTCTTTGGTATAAGAAGTACCAGATGAAATAGTGTGCTTCAAAATATAAACCAATGTTTGTTTTTTTGTTTGTTTGTTTTTTTGTTTTTTTTGGGGGGGGCGGGGTTGTGGTGCCTAAGACAATCAATGATGCTGATTGAATATTATCTTTTTTCAAGACCTGAACAGCACCGGACACAACATGTTTGATTTACAAATGCTGCCCTGCATAATAGACTCAAGCCGCCTCAGTCACCACAATGCTCCTGTGGCATTTGAAAACCAAAACAACCGAGCACAATCTGTAACAGTGTCCGTTACTTGGCAACACAGAAGCGGCACGTGACCTAAAAGCACCCACAGAAATAGACGCTCTAAAGGGCAATGCAAAGGAGCTTCCAATGATAGCATCGTTCCTTGCTGTGGCTAGATTGGCTGAAGAATGGGAACCATTCGAGAACTTTGGGAACCAGCTTGTGTAACAGTATAGAGTCAGACGACAACCATTCAAATCCGTGCAGTCTGTTTAGACAATGATCTTTGCTTGTATCGGAACCCCTTCACTTAAAGTGGACTAATCTCAATACAAAACCTGGTGAAGTTCATTTACGAATCCAGGGGTGGTGTAAGGTTTAAATATAATGTTGTAAAATATCTTACATTCCATAGTAGACATAAGCCATAGATAAACGAGGATGTGTAAAATATAAAATGCCATCTGCAAATAAAGAAGAAATAAAATCATAAAAGGAAGTTAAATTTATATAAACATACGAATGTAAAAATTGTATAAACGTATGTCAAAACAAGTGTTGTTTACCGTCTTTACGACTATTTTAAAACAAATTTACAGTTCACAGAAAATTGTAGTGTTAGAAAACAAGATTAATTCTTGTAAGATATCCTACATTTACCCTTACACGAGCTTAAACTTCTATTTTTGTATAAAATTACCAATGCATACATTAACGGAGAAGAACGGACAAAAACACGTGAGCACGCGCTATGTTACACGTTTTTAACATGCGCCACTCGGGGCACCATGTAAAATAGCTGACTGCAATGACGGCCCGGTAGTTTTTTTATCAGAACATAACTGTCAAATGGCACCGCACTAGAACGTGGAAAGCATGGAAAGCATGGAAAAATTGTTTCTTTAAACGAAAAAGGTTAACAAAACGCGGAAGTACCGACGTATAATTTAACACAAGAATAGGGCTAATGCCATGCATCCTTTTCGCGGACTTTAAATGCATCCTCCTTCTTTTGCAGATGTTCATGCACGGAAAAAGTGCATAAACCCTCTACTGATTCTATCAACAAACTAAGAAATAAGGCCTTACCCGCTATCGCAGAACTTTTTTATTGTGGGCGTGGCATCACGCTTCTTCCTTTTCCGAAACCACACCTCTATCTGTCGTACTGACCAATCAGTCTGCTTTGATAATGCCTTTGATAAAACAAATAAATTTATTATTTGCAAAATAAAATATTGAACACTCGCAACTTTTCGGCCCTTTCCGTCAGTCTTCGGATCTCCGGTCTTATGGATGATAACCGAGGACGTTCCGTTGTGTATTGTAATGGCATTTTATCCAGTTATCACACTGAAAAGGATTATAGTTGTAGTCTTTGTTTAGCATGATTTATATTTTTGAACCATTATTGTTATATAAAACATACAAGTTTTACAATCATCATCAAAAGCAAGGATAGGCCAATCTTCTATAGGTAATACTATAATAATAGGCAGTCAAGACAAGGTACATAAATAATCTTTGATTCTTTCAGGTGCAGTTTGCAATACACTTCTAATATTAAAAGCGACTTCATTTTAAAGTTTTACCCCAAAACATAAAGAAAACTCAAATTGTTGTATAGTTGCGAACCTAATTAATTAAAGTATTCAACAATTTGATAGTTTAAAGGAACTCCCACTGAGGTCAAAAAGTCTAACAGAAAATTTGAATTTCTTACATATACGATATGAAGATAAGCTGGGGGCACTTAAAAAAGAAAGATACACAAAAAATAATCAAGAAATATACCCAAAAAATCATTAAGTATTTTTGTGCTGTTCTTGGCCCGGTTTCAGTGAAAAACCGTTGCAACGTTTTTCAATTTTGGGTCATTTGTCACAATTAGATTTATTGTTCTGGCAAATGTTTTGAAATTCTGCATAAAAGCTTTGGTATAGACCTACATCAAATGGAATATTAATCCCGAAAAAAGTAGTATCAGTCCTATCATGTCTAAAAGGGGGGGGGGGAAACAACAACAAAAAACCTCAGTGGAGTCCCTTTAAGCTCCGGGGATATTTTCTTTGATTTAAATATATGTGGGCCTGCTGGGCCACTTAGAACAACATTAAATATAAGAAATAAATTTATACCTCATAATTTGGTTGAAGTTGTCTCTTTTGTTTATATTCCTCCTCCAGAACAGCGTTTGGTGTTATAAATGGAACCCTTTGTGGTTGTACACCAAGTTTATAACCTATTGGCTTCAACAGAACACTGTGAAAAGAAACATAAAAAATCCACATTGTGACATCTAACTTATAGTAGTATTTATTGTGCATCATTCTAACTTTATATCAAGTTACTTCTTTATGATGAATATGCAAATTTCTAATAAATACGAATGACCGGTGGGGACATTTAAACTTATTGAATTCCCGAATCATCTTCTTGTATTTGGAATTTTAACTTCGTCAATCCACAATTTCAACTTGCGAATTTCACGGATTCTTGATTTCAACTTCTTGTATTAACGATTTCAACTTAACGAAATCAAGATTTCAACTTCATGAATTCACGAAATCAACTTCGCGAATTCACGTTTTTAACCATACGATTTCAGCTTCACTTATTCAAGATTTCATCTTCACAACGATGATATCATTAATTCACGAAATTGAAAACGTGAATTCTGTATGTTAAAATTGTGAATATAAAATAAAGTTGAAATCACGTAGATGGGGTCCGGAATTCATGAAGTTGAAATGTCCCCACCGGTCTTTCGTAAATATAACTACGGTATTTGATATGTAAAGCGGTTTAAAGTACATAAGAATCAAATATTATTAAGAATATAAAACAGACAAACATTATTCAAAAATATATTATACAGTACTCCTAATCATAATAAAATAGAATGTTTTAAAAATATCTGAGCTCAAACAAGAAACAAAAAACAACAAGTCTTTTGTAGGCGCATTGAACGCTTAACACTGAATATATTAAAAACCCATAGATATATCTGCTTTAAATATTAAACAGTGATCCCATGACACATGTACTGTTGTTCACAGAAACTTGAAAGGTACTTGGACTTTGAACTTCCGGCGAACTTAAGCCCTTAGAGCAAAACTCATAATGGTTCTACCTTTTTATTAGAGTAAAGGCACGTGTGAAATCGTACTTCCGTTTTGCCGTTATGATGAATTGTACATATTTGCATGATAATGATAAAATGCAAATATGAAAATAAATGCAAATATGAAAATAGAATGTTCATTTAGATCTCGATATAAAAAAGGCACCGACGTATGGGGTCAGATCCCCCCCCCAAGCCTCTGTGAATAAAGATCTTACCTCTCAATAATAAACCTGAGTATAACAAGAGCAGCTCCTAGTAAAATACCAAAGTGAAGATCCGTCGTTTCTGGATAGTATACTTCCGATCCTGGCTGGTTCTCAAGATCCTTCCAGCCATACGTATTGCCAAATACTTTGTTCGGGAACCACCACCGTTCGTCCCAGATGAAGTCGTTGAAACTCTTCAATGCCATGTTTGGAAGATAAAAATATGTTTCACTTCCGGTTTGTAGCTTTACTTCCGGTGCACATCAAGTTGAAATGTTCTGAAAGCATGGCGATGAGAATTGATTTGAATGATATATTTTAAATATGTAAACGTACGTTTCCCTGGAAAACATCCTTGTGTTATGTGCTAATTTATGACTATTTCTCAGAAAGAGTAAAACACAATTTGACGAATGCTAAGTAACACATCACATCATTTGTTGCATGACATTTATACATCAATGATGACATTGACAAGTATCGTAGCACATGTTACAGCAACAGCTGTAAATAGAAATGCTTGTTTTTAGAAACACAGCTTCCGAATGATTGGGCACTTGATTAAAAGGCGCCATCTGGATTTACTGTCGCGTATCAATATATTGTACAAGAAACAATGACAGAAACAATGACGGGTTTTTAATAAGAAACCAGGCGTCCATTAGATTAATTTCGATTGTCAACATCCGGCTTGACAAATGACCACTTAATTTGAATATAAGGTATCTAATAAAACAATGGCCTATCTATGAGTCTACCATTTGAAACACTCTGTCGTTTTTATGAGTCTACCATTCGAAACGCCTTGCCGATTACTAAAGCCCATGTCGGGATCGAACTATTTATCCGAATTTTGGACGAACATGACCGAAAAGTAACGACTTTTTACTTATTATTTACATTGTGGTGCAGATGTCGCCACTTACATTTAGGAAAAGAACGCTATCGACTATATATTGAAATAAGGAAAACCGGTGTTATCTTAATTCATCATTTACTTAATAATATATTACGCTACATTTGTAGTTTTTCACAGCTGTGCCATTTTCCTTGGCTGAACAACAACAACAAGATATGAGCCGCGTCATGACAAAACCAACATAATGGGTTTGCGACCAGCATGGATCCAGACCAGCCTGCGCATCCGCGCAGTCTGATCAGGATCTATGCTGTTCGCTATCAGTTTCTCTACTTGCTATAGGTTTTGTAAGCGAACAACATGGATCCTGATCAGACTGCGCGGATGCGCAGGCTGGTCTGGATCCATGCTGGTCGCAAACCCATTATGTTGGTTTTGTCGTGATGCGGCTCATATGATAAACAAGCAGGAAGGGCGGCGTTCAATGAACGCAACCCCCACACGATACAGCAACACAAGAACACCGGTAAGAAGCCTAACAGGACCAAAATTAAAACAGGACAGGACAGAAGGCAGCATGAATGGGTTGATTACAACACCAAAAACAATAGTAGTGTTATGGGAAAAAATGTACATGGACTTGCTCAGTTTCCATTTCGGAACTATCCATTATCAATTTTAGGGATATCAGAATCAAAAATCTTTAAGTTAGTCAGCCAACAGCACTTTAACTCAAGTGGTGAAGTCAAATCACTTTAGGTTTTAAAGTTGTTTTAATTTATTCACCCATAGATTCTTCGTCATTTTTTCTTTTTCGTAATTTACATGGATTGTAAATGGCGTTTGCAATATGTAAATTCTCGGGTTTTACAACTCATCTTTACGAATTTGCAATTTTCAACATCATGAATTCACGATTTCTTCATCATGAATTCAAGATTTCAACTTCATAAATTCATATTTTGAACTTAATGTATTTACGATTTCATCTTCGTTAATTGACAATTTCTACTTCGTGAATTTACAATTTTAACTTCGGAAATTCAAGCTTTCAACATACGGAATTCACGATTTCGACTTCACGAATTCAACTTCATGAATATATGTTTTAATTTTCACGATTTCAATGCCGTGTACATAAAATCTTGAATTCGTGAAGTTGAGATCGTGAATTTGTGAAGTTGAAATTGTGATTTTTTTTGTGAAGTCGAAATCGTGAAATTATAATCGTGATGTTCAAAGCGTGATTTCGCAATGTTGAATATGTGAAGTTTAAATCGTGAATTCATGAAGTTTAAATATTCACGGAATTAAAATCGTGAAATTCAAAACGTGAATTCATGAAGTTCAACTTCACGAATGATATCGGGAATTTATGAAGTTTAAATGTCCCCACCGGTCTTTCGTAGCAAAGTTTTCAGATTAACTACTCCATAGATGAACTTTTCCATCGTTCATGTAAAAGTTCCTATGCCTGTTTCTGGGAAACAACAACAGTGTATGTATACATGTTTCCATTACTTTTTCCCCTTTAATCATGTTGGCGGAATAATACATAATTGATTATCATTGGATCACGTGCTGCTATCCATTATTCCAGTATCACTTGCCTGTATTGTTGTTCTGGTGTAATCATTAAAAAAACATTCGAAATGTCACTGCTATAGTTGCGGTAAGAAATACAGTACAGACCCGCGCTCGGTGACCACCCCAATGTTAAGGACAACCCCCTTTTAAAGGCCTCAACAGACGGAGGACTTAGTTGTACAGCACTAAAGCAAAACAACACTTGCATTCAGACGGTAATTCTACACTGTAGGAATCATCTGAGGTTTCCCTAAAAAGGATCCCTCCCAATTGATCCTTTACATATTTTACTCACTAAATACTTTTTTCGCCATAAGTAATGTTTGAAACACCTCCATTTAATTTTTTTTTAAATGTGAAGCATGACCTAGACTCAAACCTGGGACCCTCGGAATACCGTACTGCGGCTCTACTGACTAAGGTATCCGGCCGCCTACAAACTACCTCCCTTCCGATAATTAGAGAACAGTTCAATACCATGACATAATCATTTTCGGAATAATTTGGGATTCGAACATAACACAAATTTGGGTTTCCTGAAGAGTTTTTCAACATCATTTTTACCCCATCTTACTACTATGTTTACCTTTTAGCCCTAATTGTTCTGGAATTTCATTCATTACACCCATTATCAGGAGATAATTTGGTAATCTGTTACTTGTCATTGTGGGAGGTCTGTAGAAATCTGTACGACAAGATTTTCAAAATAGAACATGTCCTCCAAATTCAAGAAATAGTAGCCTTCACACATTAAGATTTGCCTGTACATCTTAGTTTTAATTGGTGTTGTACTTCAAAATCCTACCGTCTATTGGGGCCTTTTAACACGACCAGTTAATTCATTAATTTTTATCAATGCATTGAAGTAAGGCAAAAATGCAATGGTTATTTATTCACCTTTGAAAAAAGTAGGAAACTTAAATGTTTTACACAAGAAAAAACGATAACTGGGAAGTAGTGTCAGATTTCTGAAAAAAGTTTCGTAATAAGATATCAGATATTTTGCGTGTGTATGTGAATTCTTAATCTGCGTCCATGTTAAAATATGCGATAAAGAGATAAAAAAAAGTTTCGGGAGATCTCTATATGACGAGAAAGATTGTGTGGGGTGGGTGGGGTGGCGTTGGGGGAATAAAGGGGGACTTTATGCCATAAAAGGCATAGACAAATTATACGATGGATGAACAATTACATGTTTATATATAATTATGTAACCATACAAGCAAGCCACTAAGTAATTCATGCATTATAGTAGCAAATTACGAAAACAGTTGAAAACTACAATACATTCGAGGTAAGTAATATATATTATTTATTTTTTCATCATTTTTTCTGATGCATTTAAGCAATTTATATGAAAACTAATTTTTTGACCAATATATATTTAATTAGACTATAAGCATATTAATATCATGATATGTCAATGATGACAGATCATCACATGTTTAAGGGGGTCATATTGACCGATATGATGTTATAGATATTTGAAATATGCGTTCCGTATCATTAGAAATATACGTTCCGTATCATAAAAATATGCGTTCCGTATCACTTAAAAAATACGTTCCGTAACACTCAAAAATGCGTTCTGTAACACTCAAAATATGCGTTCCGTATCACTTAAAATATGCGTTCCGTAACACTCAAAATATGCGTTCCGTATCACTTAAAATATGCGTTCCGTAACACTCAAAATATGCGTTCCGTATCACTTAAAATATGCGTTCCATAACACTTAAAATATGCGTTTCGTAACACTCAAATATGCGTTCAGTAACACTCACTGGATGAAGCAGCTACATTAACTTCAAAAATGTACTTAGATAACTATTTTTTTAGCCTCCATGTAACTTTTGAGTGAAAGTCACGTGACATTATAACTGTACTGAGAGGTGTACTGGATGAACTCACTTAAACGAACAGACAGACAAACGGACAAACCAATATTTGTGATTAGAGATTAGATAAGTTATATTATGATAATCGCGCGTAAATTCTCTGATCATATTTATGGTGAAGTTTTAAAGCCATTAAAGCTGACAATTAAAACAAGAAAGAAAAAAGTAAACGACAGAAAAAATGCCATACACAAGTCACTGAAAATTGAAAAGAGCTATTGTCAGTATTAACACGAACTTTTATTTTTTAGTAACAATAAAGTAACCAATCATGTATGCTTTGCTTTAAAAATTTCACCATCCCTAGTTTTCATATATGTAAAATTTAAGTCCTGCGAAATCTTCCCGATTAAGCGATTTATTTTCTAAATAATAAAAACAAATAGGTTGCTTTTTATATAAAGAAACATTAGTCCTATCTATGGAACGCCTAATTAACAAGTACTGAATTATTCAAATCTCTCTTTTATTGTTTTGCAAATGACATAATATATTTTGAAGGGAGTACAATCAATTGAGCCGCGTCACGACAAAACCAACATAATGGGTTTGCGACCAGCATGGATCCAGACCAGCCTGCGCATCCGCTCAGTCTGATCAGGATCCATGATGTTCGCTATTAGTTTCTATACTTGTAAAAGGGTTGGTAAGCGAAAAATGCGCAGGCTAGTCTGGAATCATGCTGGTCGCAAACGAACTATGTTGGTTTTGTCGTGACGCGGCTCAATTTATGTGTGAAGTGTAATTCAATTGAAGTCCTCTTTTAAGTTTTCAACCACTCTATGATTGATATTCATTATCCCAATATGTATATGAATATATGAATGAGACTGAGATTAAATATTCTTATCTTATATTTTATATTTGCCTAGATTTTAACTGATTTAGGTTAGGGTTAGATTTTATAGATACGTTGAAATTAATGCACCGATTAATGGCCAAGATTACGCTGTTCTCGACTTTGATAAATCCATTCAACAGGTAATTTTAACATCTCAATAAATAAGTAAATAAATAAATAGAAAACACAATAATATGTGCGGTGATATTCATATTAAATCCAAGGTTCTTTAAGAAATAGGACAGTACCTAGATTCAATGCAAATGCATTATAGTAATGCCCTCACTCTTTGAATTGGCGCGTGCTCTCCAGTAGAATTTATAACCTTTCTTATGTTATGTGAACTTTTGTATGAACTAGAGCATGCAGTTATTCATGTGAAATCCATTAATGTTTCCTGAGACGTTTATTTGAATTTCTGCGCGAGATTCTAGTATCTGGATAAAGGTTCAAAACTTCTAATATTTGAAAATGTTATACTATATTAATTCAGCGTGCCATAATGTATAAATAGTGACACGTACTGCCAAATCGCTGTAGCTCTATAGGTATAGCGATAGACTGTAAATCGAGCGACTCGGGTTCGATTCCCGGACGGCGCAGGTCACTATCGTAACGATTGGTCAGGAAATCCTTTCTTCGGTCTAGATTTGCTTTGACATGTGCAGAAGTTTTCAGTTTCTTACAAAAGTGAAGACTTCAAGTACTGTTAACTGCTTCACAGTCTGGCCAGGAACGAAGCGGGGGCTGGTCTGTGCTTTTAATGGTAAATTTAATAATTCTTTTTTACTGCTAAACTACCAACACCGACACGACGCATCACGCTAAACACTGATCACGGACCTAAATTGCCAATTAAGGTCCGTGATTTTATTAATTACATAATGCATTGCTATACTCGGTGTATAAAGTCAATACAAACATGTTGTTGTTGTTATTGTTGTTGTTGTTGGTAGTGGTGGTGGTACACATGAAACAAAGTAATTTACAATGTAGTCCTAAGTATAACTATGTCACAAATGTTCACCATACCGTCATTTCCGCCGCGGGCGTTCATCATGTATCATTTTTAACACCACTTAACTTTTCTTATTTAACAATGCACAGTTGTATGCAGTACATTTATACCGATATTTTCAAAGATAACGATTTCCCTATAAGAAATAACATACAATTTATTGAAAAAGCGTAAAACAATATGCTTAGTTTCCGAAATACTTTTTACGTGGTTTAATAGTACATAAAAACATATAAACAACAAAAACACAACAACAAAACAATGTTATCACATGATCCCGAAACCTTACAATACATACATGACTTTTTACAAACTCCAACAATCTTTGTATGTTAAGATGAAATCTAACTTTACATCACATGTTATGGAGGTAAAAGGTTAAACATATAAATCAGGTCGAGAGAAAAAAAAGTTCTCATATAATTATTAACAGAATGTATACTAAAGTAATTATTACTTATTATTTATACAATTATATATGCGCGTATGTTTTTTTTTCCATCTCAGTGCATTATACAAATGTAAAATCAAAATACCTTGAATTATAAATCTCTTCCTTTAAACATATGAAGTTCTCCCTCGCATACGAGAATTACTCATGTGTGTCTATAACATATAGTGGCGACTGGCGAGTGTAGCAAACCACTCAACCATGATTTATATATGCGTCACTTGACAACATACAAACTTTCATACTTTCATCCTCATCACGAGTGTGTGTACCCCCCCCCCCCTGTTTTCCCTTTAGACCACTAGAGATACCGGATTGATAAAAGCGAATGGGTACTTTAAAATAATAACATAACATACGATATTATAAAGTAGGACTTTCTAATGCTTGATATATTTATATATGTACGGATGTGAACATCGTACGATGATTTGTAATTAATGCAGCGCACGAGACTCCAGGCTATTTATAGATATTGTAATCAAATCAATTAAGATGTCACGTAATATGTTAAATATTATAAATAATTATTCGGGCGCGTTCCTTTTTCATATTCAAATGTTTTAATTCGCCGTAATAGTATATATGTCAGCATTTTAGTTAAGGTTTGCAGTAGATTCTAAATTGTATTAAACACCGCACGCATTTTTTTCATATTAAACATTGATTATTAAAGCTGCATGCCTCCGGATTAAAACTGAAAGATGTCCTAAGATTTTAAGAAAAGTAGAATGATTAAAGTTATAATTACATGTTCTGTCAATTGATGACTAATTTTGCAGTATTTATCACCATATTTTTACTGCGTGACTAATGCAGTAAAGACTATTTCTGCATAATTTGACCTCTTTTTTTGGTAACTTATGTGGATTGTTAGCGTCGTTTGCAATTAGCAAATTACTTTCTTTGTTCACTTCACAATAGTTTACTTTTAAATAAAGTTTCAAAATTTTCATGATCTGGAGGCATGCTGCTTTAATGTAAATGACCAACTTAACTGAACTTAAGATCTCTCCCTCTAACGATTACGTTTTGAAAAGACCGAACAAATGCCTAAGAAACAGTAAAGAAATGATAAGGTATAAGGTTTGAACATATAAGGCAAGAGATGACGAAAGGCGATTGTGTCCCCTGACCATTGTTAATAAATCACGGGAGGTAACTCTTGATGAGGATGGTAATATCGAAAACGCGATTGTGTCCCCTGACCTATGATCATTATGTCCGCCAAGTTGTGTATTAAACATTTGCTTTAATAAGGTTGATTGACCAATAATTGAAAATGAAAAATGTTAAGGATAAAAACTTGGTACCAAAATTATAAAAAAAAACTGTCAACCTTTTTCTTTTTTTAAAAAATAATATGAATGTCACAGATACATTCCGAATGATATTTATAGAAATGTCCAGGTGTCATGTTGAATGTTATTTATTTATTGTATAGTAAAATATAAAATTGAACACAATTATAGTAATATATCAAGCTATTTTTGACTTTCACTCGTGCACTCACCATTTACACTTGGATAGTCAGAATGTCACTTTAAAGCAGCACGCCTCCAGATTTATGCTAATTTTCTTAAAAAAAATAAAATATGTGTAACGTATAATAATATGTAGTGACCAAAAGGAAGCAATTTACACCTAATCAATTGCACTTATAACTCACGTAAATTAATAAAATGAGGAAAAAATGTACAAAAATCGCTTACTGCGTTAGTAACGCAATAGAAATTGTCATTATATTGGGAAAAAAATCAGTCATTAACCACATATAACATGTCAATTATTACTTGAATCTTTAATATTTTTACATTCCTAAAGTCTAAGATATATTTTTTTTAAGTTTGATTTTATTGAAATATTTTGACTAATCTGGAGGCATGTAGCTTTAAGGATTTATATTTATTAAACACGACTGTTCAACAACGATTTCTCCTCCCGCCGATTCAAACGAAACAACGAATTCACACAATTTACCATTCTAAACCCTAAAGAACAGTTTACCATATTGTTTTGCAGAGTCTTTAAAACAACAACTTATGTTGTTTAACAACATGGTGTTAACTATGAACATCAAAAAGACATAATTCCTGTTTCATATTTGACACCATGGCATCCTATAAAGCAAGGATTTTAGGATTTTTTTGTGAGGCGGGGTGGGGGAAGGGGTTAAGGAAAATGTAGGACTTAAGAGGAAAAAGATGGGAAAGGTTGGGCTCTTTTGAAAGTCTATGAAGCTTCTACATGACAAGGACTAATAAATATTGATAATTATGAATAACATGTACATGTAGATATTAGTTCAAAATCAAGGACAATTTATATCACAGTTCTATTCTGCATCAGAAAAAGTGAACATACAGTTGTTATGTAAAATCAATGTTTGCTATGGAAGTCACTGGTTGCTATAGAAAGTTAAATGTTGCTTGCAATAGAAATAACTGGTTGCTATTGGAAGTATATAGTTGCTATGGAAGTCACCTGTTGCTTTAGAAAGTCGATGATTAATATGGAAGTTACTGGTTGCAATTGAAAGTCAATAGTTGTTATGAAAGTCACTGGTTGCTATCGAAAGTTGATGGTTGCTATGGAAGTCGCTGCTTGCTATATACAGACAATGTTTGCTATGGAATTTCATGGTTGCTATGGAAAGCCAATGGTTGTTCTAAGGGAAGTCACTGTCTGTTATTGAAAGTCAGTGTGGTTTTTTTTTGAAGTCACTCGTTGCTATGGAAAGCCGCTTGTTGCTGTCGAAAATAACTAGTTGCTATGGAAAGAGATTGATTGCTATGGAAGCCCATGATTGCTCTGGAAAACCACAGGTTACTATGTTAATTCACTTGTTACTTTGGAGGTCACTAGTTGCTTTGGTAATCAACTGGAAGTTTTGTAAAGTCAATGGTTGCTGTGTAAGTCAGTGGTTGATATGGAAAGTAAATGGTTGCTTTTGAAGTCACTGAAGTATTCAAAAATTAGTATTATATACAAAAAAGAAAAACCCATTGACCCCAAGGGCAGGCCCAATTTTGACCCAAGGGCTTCAATTATAGCAAACTTGATAACAACCGACAAGACGATGCTTAATGGTATTTATCTAAGCTATTGCATTTGCAGATTTAGAGTAAAAGATTGAACTAGCCCTTTTTGATATACATAATTATAAGGAAAACCCAATGACCCCCGAGGTGGGTCAATTTTGACTTAAAGGCTTTAAACAGTCTTGGTCGTTGTCTATTAGATAAAGTATCCTGTTGAATATCTAAGCTCTTGCATTTCCAGACTCAGAGATTTTTTTTCTTCAAAATTTACAATACACTTAAACTATAAGGAAAAAGATGATCCCCGGAAGTGGGCCAATTTTGAGCCTTTGAGCTGAAATTTGAATAAACTACTACTACAATGTTCCCTGTCAAACATACCTTTACAGAATTTTCATTTTTTTTCTCCAGGTCTGATTTTTGAGGGTCATTAATTTACCCTCTGCAATATGTTTTCCGGGTCATTTGAAACTCTAAAAGGTCACGCCTTTAAAAAATATAAAGAACAACAGTTAACATTTTATTAGTTATTGTTAAAAATAATCAGAACAAGCATCAACAAGTCAAGGCGACGTTCACAGAACGCAGCAATTCTGGACGAAATTCACGACCAGATTCAAACTTTTGTTTTGGATTCGTCTTTACGGTCAGTGTAAAATTGAGCTATTTGATAATTCTTCCGGTGAAAAAAGTTTATGGCAATACCTTTTTTTTTCGTAAAGAAAGTTGTTTGTCTCCACTGCTTTAAAGCAGAAGACATTTCCAAGTAAACATCCTAAGGCCGTTATTCCATTTATACGTGATCAGTGGTCCGCGTCAGTGATCCGTGTCCGGGCATGTCCGTGGGTATTATTCCATAGGTACGTTATTTCCTATATACTTTTAATTGAAGTTTAGCGAACAGAGGATAATTATTTGTAGAATATGATATAATTTCATTCTAATACCAAAAACAGTTGTAACATCAAAGAATTAGGTAACAAACATTGAATATCAGTTAGGTTTTCAAATAACATCTCTTTAGCAACCGATGACCAGATGTTGTTTTTTTTTAATCTGTCATTGCCTGCATCATAAACTTATATGTTCTCCTACACTTTTTTGGTGACTTCTTTAGTATTTTCTTTCGAAATCGATAAAGTATTTAATTTCGTTCGAGGCATTTTGTAGGGATGAGACATGTCAGTGACTGTCCGCGTCCGTAAAAAATCGCTCATCCTGCGAAACGTCGCGGATGCCGTCGCGGAAGCGGATGGTAAACGGACAAAAGGAATAGATTCAACGTATTCTTTGATTAGCGAATCGGTAACGGATGCGGATGACGGACGCGGACCACTGATCACGTATAAATGGAATAGCGGCCTAAGGCTTTCATCTTCGCGGATCGTCGCGGAATATGACGACAACAATAAACAATTTCGTCTGGGTCATTTTCTGTCTACATAGTAGACTAAGCCACATAATTATATGCCTACTTTAGGTAGCCGATTGCTTCCATTATAATCTGCGATATTTTGCTTGGATGCATACCTAGTAAAAAGTCGAGTTTTAGCATAACGCCTCGATTTTTTATGCCGGAAAACGTCTCTGCGCAAAGAGTCGCGGCTGTAAATTGCTATTTCTCGCCGCGATATTTTATGTTACCGTTGTTGAGGAACAAAAATTCGCAGCCAATTTAATGTAGAATTTTACAAAACTTGCAAAAAATTCTCAGATTTCTTTCGGTTCCTCGACTTTTTTTATAGACAAATGAGGGGCAAAATATATAGTCAAACCATGGACGCTACAGGCCACTAGAATCAAAAGGTTATAAAATATCGAGGTTTGAAAGTTGCCCGCGACATTTAATTATAAAACGATAAAATTTCTCGCGGGTTTGAAACGGCAAAACCGGCCACCATAGAATTGAGTAAAATGGCGACAGTTAAATTCTTGCGTCAAAAAATAGGCACGGGCTGAATTCTATTGCGTTATTGTAGAAATAAGTGCGCCAAAAACCCTTAGCTCTGGATTATTATTAAATTTCAATTCAGATAAATTATAATTCAAATAATTTAAATTTTTGCTTCGAAATAGACAGTATACATTTCTGCTATCGGGATATACCTCATTTATGTTAAGTACGGAATTCTTTCATCCGGGTTATTTCTAGTACCACGTGATGGCAGAGGACAATGTTGGAATCTCTGACACACGGCA